TGATCTCATGAAAAATCAAGCAGAAACTAGCGAGGAAAGCGAGTTGTTTAAAGCCAGCCATTTTTTTTTTACATGAGAACGGATTAATCATTTTTACATTACTTCTTATGGAAAAGGTTGGTTTGGTATACGTCCTATTCGGTATAAGTCCAAACACCAGGAACGGATTAAGGTCATATACCGAGGTTCCACTGTAAATGTCTTTTATAAGAGATTAATATGCATATTTTATATACTTCTTTAAAAACATCTATTTTATGTATTATTTATATCAGTTTTAAGACTAATAGCTGAAAGATTAGTAATTGTATTGGACAGAATTAAAAATGGGGGAAAATATGAAGATAATTAAAAATAAAAAAGAAATATATCAAATAAAACTATAAAATAAACCCAATTAGATATTTCATTTGGAATTCTTGTTTAACATATTAGAAATATCAAGATTCTCATAAATATATATGTGTGTGTCAGTATTGATTTATACTGTTGTAAAGTTTATCATAATCTTCAGCTTATTTATGGTTTTATTACATATATTATTTACAATTTACAGATTTTAATGTAAAAAAAAAAGATATTAAACTTTCTTTTTAAACTGCATTCTTATTGTTTCAAAAACAAAATTTAATGATCTATATCAGTGATTGTTAGCTTTAGAATTGTTGAATGCCAGGAATTAATGTTATTGGAATGTCAGAACTTTGACTTTTGCAAGTCTTAGTTATTTTAGGAATGGGAATAAGAAGGCTATGAAATTGTTATATTCAAATTTTAATATTTATTTTGCAATAAGCATAAAGCAAAATTATTTTAAAATATAAATATAATAATAATAATAATTTTAAATCTGGACAAATCTGAAAGCTTTTTGCAAGATTTTCTGCAAACTTTAAAGTTTGGGAGCTGGAAAACCAATTGTATGNTATATTATATATATATAAAAAAATATATAACATAGTGCAATATTTATATTTTAAAATTGACTATTTATAACAGTAGAACTGTAGGTTTCTCTAAAGATCAGTAACAATCATAGGCCATAAGGAATGATCTGGTGGTATTAGTAATGTAAATAATATGATGATGACATATTATATTTAGTCAAATATAAGAAGATGCCATAAAATCTAAGACACAATCTTAATTTCTACATACCAATGGATTTTTTTTCTTTTGAAAAATAGACAACTTGAGACTAATTTATGTCAACAGAATCAGTTTTGTTGACATAAATTTGTTCATTATTTATTGTAAAGTAAGTAATATATTATGGTCTTCCATGATATCAGTCAGAAACCTCTTCACTTTCTGTGCTAAGCTCTTCTGAATCATTGCTGGGGTTCAATGTTTGCATCTTTCTGTGTGTAGTTGTCCTTGGTGTCATTTGAAGCATCAGAAATGCATCATTTCTTGAGTGCTACACAACTTTTTCTGGGATTTTCATTCAAATGCTTATGATGTTACTGTAATAGACGAATGAGGTGACTTCTTAAATATTTACTATTATGAATATTAATCTAATAAAATGATCAAAATGATGAAATGGAATTAGTAACAGAGAAATAAGATGCTAGCCTTAGAGGTTGCTAATTATAACATATACATTGAATCTAACAAGTGGACATCATGACATGGTTATCACAGTTTTCAATGATATTGCTTGTGTGGATAAGCCTTGGTATAAATCTTTATTGAGCAAAAGGGAAAAGTGCACTTCTCAAATGTTTTTAAAAAAATCAAAGCTAAAAAATTCTGAGCAACTTATGAGTATAGAGTATGCTTTGCAGAACCTTCCAGGAAAGACACTGTGGCTTGGCTGCATTGTACCTGACTATTAATTGTTAGCTCATTGGTTTGTGTTCAGTGGTGCCTGCAGATTGTAAAAAGGGCATCATACATTATGCAAGAAGTTTCAAATTCTATGATTTAATGTCAAATTAGTGTTCCCATAAAGAGGTTCTGGTTGGGACAATAGACAAATATCATTCATTAGTTTCTTTTATATTTGTAGAGTATGCTGTACGTCATGGATTTTCTGTTGTTGGAAATGGAATTTAAGGTCCTCTTCGAAAAGGACAACTGAGATGAAAAGGTGGGGCAAGTGCCCCAATGTATGGGCATCCCTGTTTACATCTCTGAGTAAAATTTTACAATCAATGCAATTATTTTTATATAAAATATTTGTGAATTGAATAGGTTTTTTACATTTCATTTATTTTTTTTTATTAAAAAGTACATTTTCTCTCTGAAATTTTATTCTGGAATTGCTATCTATTAAAAATAAATGTAAAGTTTTTACATTTGTCAATGTTAGAATATTTTGAATAATTTGACATTTTAAACAATGAAATAAAGCTAAAAATTTATTAGTTGTAATTAACTCTCAATATCATATTAAATTATTATAGGTGACAATTTTCTTTCAATGCCTCTTATCTAATTTTTTTATTGCTTATATCTTAAGTATATTCCTTTTAATAGCTAATAAAACAAGCAAACAGTAAAAATAAAAATTATATAGCATGAATAATAAAATTGTAAACTATAAAATAACAAATTTTTGAGGATTAGAAAATGAACATTTTCAATAGAAAAATGTATTAACTCATTTAATTTACAATTTTTTAATGTTAAAATTGCATTGATTTGAAAAAAACACTACTCATAAAGATGTGAACCAGCAATCCCACAAAATCCAAACAGGCACACTACTGCCAAGCCAGGGGTCTTTGCCGAAAGATTTCTCAAAGCATCCTCATAAATTGATAGGAATTTTTTAACTAATTTTCTTGAAAAGGTTTGAGAATCATGCTATCTTCATTTATTCACTAAAGGGTCATTCAATGGCTTAACCACATAAACAATATCATTGAAAACTGTGATGACCATATAGGCTGCATCTTACAAGTAGAGGTCACAATTTTCAGAGATACTAAAACCTGAAAAAAGTACATCTTACATTTGAGTAAATATGGTATGATATCATATATACTCAAATAGTATCAATATTTATTATTTAAACACACACAACTCGAGGATGGGTTTAGGAACCTGAAAGCACTTAGATAATAAAGATGTAAACTTTGGAAAAGCTGGTTTGGGTAAATAAATATCTATTATTTTCTTTAATTTAAGATGACATAAAGCATATTGTTAGTAATGGAATGATGTCTTTTATAATTTCAAATTTATCATAAAAAGAGTTGTCATATAAGTGAATGTTAGAGAACATTTCAAATTCAGAAATAAATTTAAAAAAAAAAAAAAAATTGTCAGGTTAATACAGTTCAGTGAAGAATCATCAGAAGAAAAAATGGGATCACTATGTTTGTTATAAAAATTCTTTTTTGAATTATAGCAATTAAATTTGAGATTTTAAACTTAAAAAATATTAATTAATATATAATAAAATTAGAAATTTCTTTAGAATACTGTATATTAGTTTTGTATTTATCTTGAAAAAAATTAATAGATGATTTTAAAATTTATATTTATTTTATTAAGAAATGTATTAAATATAATTTATTTTTATCTTCAATAAAAATTAATCAGAGAACTAAATTTTTTATACATTTAATTAGGTATCTTGTATTGGATATTGCTGATACAGTGACAACTAATATTATTCAACATATACCAAAGGTATGGTTATTATATATTAATGCTATTTGAAATGTAAAAAATTTGTCTATTTTATGTAACCATTTTTGGCTGAATTTCAGGTAATAAATTAATATTCTTGAACATAAATTTTAGCAAATTCTTTTATTTCAGGTAAAATTTTTTATTGATGATTGTTTATATTGTAGAGGTAAGTAATGGCAATTTTTAAATATAATTACTATCTATAATTTTTGATGTTTTATTTTTGGGAAAAACAGAATTGTTGCAATATGCAGAATGATTAATATTAATTTTAAAGACGTTTTTGACAACTACATCAGTTTAATTGAGAGAACTTGTAGGATTATGGGAAAATTGTTCTCCTATGGGCTTGCATTGCATTGTTAATTTCCAATATTCAGTGAAGTTTAAGATAAGATAGTATAAGAACTAGAAATTATCAGCATTTTTCATTTATAACTCAACTCTACTTTTGTTCATTATAAATATTGTTAGCTTTAGTTAAAAGCTTAAATTTTATTTCTGAAATGTGAAAAATAAAACTTTGTGAAAATTTACAATGTATGTGCACCTGCAATATTAAGTTTTTGTAAGGGGAAGAGAGAAAATAGTATATATTCGCTAAAGAAATCTTTTCAAATGAAAAATGTCAAAAACGTTTTTTAGAAAATTTAGTAACCATTCAGAATTTCTCTGCCAGTCACTTTATGTCAGTATCAATAAAACATGGAAATGTCTAAATTTGGACCTGTAGGATTTTGGAGGATGTTTGATTAAGTAAAAGCCCATTTATTCAGATACTTTGTCTAATTCATATTGGTTTTTGATCTTTTTAAAAATTAAATCTGAGTCAGTTTGAGGCACTTTCAGTAAGTCTAGCTGTTCATTTTAACCAGCTCTTTTGGTCAGCTTAACTCTTCATAAATTTCCCATAACATTTGAAGATCAAGATCATCTTTCTTTCCAGAAAAGTTTGTCTTGGACATGATTCTTTAGCTTCTGTTGCAATAACATAGTCCTTCCGTTCATAATTGTTGTAAGGTACGAGTTAATTTTGTGTCTGTTCTGTAGAACATAAATTTTATGGACTACTTCCTCGACTAAATCCTGGTCTTCAAATAACCTCTAGGAATAAAGGTGCTGTTAAAAATAAACCCTGGGTTGAAAAGCATGGAAAACATATTGAAGTACTGCAAAGTATAAAATAATATAGTTTAGAGTAACAGATAAATTTAACTCTCTCTTCAAATTGTCTGGAGTCAAACATCATTTTCTGTTTCAAGGTTTATGGGAACATTTTTGTAAATAAAATTATAAATATTGGTGAATATTGAGTATGAGAAAGTCATGATTGAGTTTGTAAGTGAAGAGCTTTCCAGCTAAAGGTTAGTTAGGAAAACTTGAATTGGAAATGGTGAGTTTGAACCAAAAGATGGTAGTCAAGATCCTGATTTTGACAGTGACATTATAACAACTGATTCAGAAGATTTTGAATTGGGTTAACTAATTAAAACAGTAATTATTTCAAATGTTATAGCTATAGTCTATAAATATAGTCACTAAACAGTTTTGATAGTGTCAAAAGTGTACAGATAATTGAGGTATTTCTTTCAAATTTTGCTCACTTGTCTCCTATTGGAAGGTAATAAACCCTTCAATAGACCCTGGTCTCAAAAGAACCAGGATCTCAAATAAACTCCTGAGAATACATATGTTTTAATAATAAACCCCTAGAATTTAATAAAGGAAATAAATATATTACATATATTTTTTCCCATTTATTATATAATGAAGTTTAGTTTAATTTATCAACTAAATTCCTGTCTCCAAATTACATTCTTCCTATTCTTTAGTCTCCTATATGGCGGCCGGATGGCCAAGCAGCTACTGCTCTGGGGGACCTGGGTTCGAATCCAAACAGGTCAAAAAATCCCCAGGAATTTTTTCAGGGGGTGGTTCGTTCGTATATGTTGGGCCCATCCCTCACCACCTGGCAGCCCCATTGTAGGCCTGGCCAAACCCATAATGGGCTTGCAAAAAGAGGCCCTCTCAGTGCCCACAGGGCAGAAAGAAAGAGTAAAAAAAAAAAGTCTCCTGTATGAGAGGGGACAGAAAGGGGGATTGTACAGCAAATTTTAATTTGCTACAGTTGTATAATGCTTTCCATTTGCATGGACTGGCCAACATGCGAGTCAGGATTGCATGCTTGTCAGTCCATAACTTGAACCCCATTACTTAGAAATCATTCAAAAGTTGAATTAGCATTGTGCACTGGGGCATTGTCCCATTTGTAAATCCAGAATGGTCCACAGATTTTTTCACCAGGTAGTAAAAGTCTGTAACATTTCTTGATACTGCAAAACATTCATTTGCCCATTTACAATTGTAATATTTGTATTTGTCTTGCCATTCCATCCAAATCCTTGCCCACACCATTACTGATCTTCCTTCTTGTTGACCTTTAGAGAATAGTTGCTCTTCATGTCTTAAGTCATGTCAATAGAAGTGCCAGTTGTCAGGGCCATTGACGTTAAATTTTTTTCATCACTTTATACAATTCTCTTCCAGTTTTTAGTCTAGGTCATCACTTTTTTAGCTCATTTCCATCTCTTATCCTTATGGCTAGGCTTTAATGTTGGTGCTAATTTTTCTCTTCTTATACATAAGAAAAGAACTACTGTTTGCAACTCTTGAAATTGTAGGTTTTGAGACATTAATATTTAGCTGGTTCACTCAAAGAAATGTCATTGTTAGTAATTTCCTTGAGAATGGAGTGTTTTTGCAAACTGACAGTTTAGATGGTTGTCCAGGTGAATGTCTAGATCTATATTTCTCACCTAATTTCAAAAAATTGTTGATTATATTGTGAGATCTCTTCAATTTTGCAGCAATTTGTCAATTTGAGAGGCCTGATTTCGTCCATGCTGATTTTTGTCCCCTTTTCAAACTTGGTCAGTGATGAATTGTGTCTCATGCTTTTTTAGCATGTTATTTACTCTTGATAGTTATGAAAATAAGCCAAATTATGCTATACATTGTTTTGCTAAAACACTTAAAACTGTTACATTTAAAAAGTTTTTAAAACAAATTTCTCATTTAATTATTGATACTTGATAGAAAGATGACCTATTTATGAGATACTAAAAACTTTTTTCTAATCAATGACTTATAAATACTTATAACTATTATTTTAATTTAAAATATTAGTTTAGGATATTGTTAATGTATAACATAAATATTATTACATTTTGATGCTACTTATTTTTTTTTCTTGCATACTAAATTGTGTTTGGACCTATATTTATGAAACACCACATGTAATAAATTATCTTAAATTTTTAAGATTGAATTAATATACAGTAATGAGAAAAATTTATTTTAGAATAGGATTAAAGTTTGCAAGTCTTGTCTAATAGGCAAGTGTATATTACCAATTATACTTTCTGCATGCCAAGTGACATTTACATAAAGATAGATAAAAGTTACAGATTTATTAAATCAATCCTGTTCAAAATATTAATTGAAATTTATTAATTTTTAAAGTTTCCAACAGACAGCAAAAACATCAAACTCAAATTTTTGAATCATTAAATTTGTTCAAATACGCTAATTATAATTGGCAATTTTTGATTATAACTTAAAAATAAGGTTTTGTTGTATTTGTTCAACTTACCCTAATTTATTAATTTAAGAAATATTAGTTTTTCAGATACAGATTTGAAGCATTTTAAAATATCAATTGAATGTAATGTTCAAAACATTTTTACAGAATATTTTAAATATGAGGTTTAATGACTTTTTTTACTCTTTTTGTCCTGTGGACCTTAATGAGGCTTTTTTCTAGGTCCCATTTTGAGTTTGTTCAGGCCACAATGGGATGGTGAGGGACCTGGCCTAATACAGTAGAATTTCATTTTAATGGATTGTGGAGCAACAGATTTCTTGGAATAACAGATCTTTTTAGTTCTCACCAAATCAATGTAATTTTGCCTTCTTTTAGTAGATCCATAACTCAGAATAATGGATATTTTCTAGCTCCATCTATTGTAAACTTTGCATATTTTCAATGTTCAGATAATATTTTGGTGTTTCTGGGAATTTGTAGTTTTTTGTTGTACTTGTTACACCTGGGATCAATTGAAGAATTTTTATGAAGAGAGTCAGCATGCTGATACGATTGAGGAGGAGCCACCTAGTAGCATTCTTATGCTGATCCAAGTGTAATGGCAAAATTTAGTGAGGCCATTGAGTTCTTCCAAGTTGTGAAGACCTTCCTGACAAGTTTCAACATAAATGAACAGGTTATACATGACATTGCTAATATCAAGCGGTTGTATTCAACAGGAGAAAAAGCAGCATCAAAACTAACCAAGATAGTAAAATTTTTTAACAAATCGTGAAGTCAGTTGCGAAGTGCTAATGAGGATATGTAATCTGCTTCTTTTTGTGCTTGCAGAGTATACAGTTTCCATCAGTTTTGTTGTACATATGTACGGCATAATATATGTGAATAAAGGATAGATTATCTCAAGAGACTGAATAATTTCAAGTACAGGTATTTATATGTTGGAAAATATATATACTCAAAAAAATTTCAATTTTTTCGAGTAATGGATATTTTCCTGGGTGTGTAGGAAATCTGTTGTTTGAGATATAATGGATTCTTGGAACAATGGATAATTTTTGGCACACTGAGCAATCCTTGAAAATGAGATTCTATTGTATATCCAGAGTAGACCACCCATGAAAAATTCCTGCCTACTTGGGTTTGAGTCTCGTCCTCCAGAGTAGTAGACTGGTGTTTTTACCACCTTGGCCATCCAACTACTGACACTTTGTTTCCACTTGATTTTGTTTCAAGTTAAAATTCTATAAATTGTTTAGTATATATCAAAACTATTACTTTTTAAAAATGCTTCAATTGTCATCAATGTGTTAGTGAATTCATTGTGTTATTTCATTGCTTTATATGCTTGAGAATTCTACTGTATTATATGCCAAAAAATTTTTAACATATCTGGGAAATTTTCCATAGGCAACTTGAGAAGAATAAGCAATTGTTTTTTTTTGTAACTCCTTAGATAGTCCAGATGATTCAAATCTGGTGATCTCAAGAGCTACTTAATTATTTTTCTGCATAAGTAATAGTACTGTTTTTAAATATGTGTTTATATAGATTATTTTATAATATATAATAATAATAATAATGATGATAATGAGTAACTTATGAACTGCAACTAGTTTTTTTAATAACATAGACTATTTTAGAGTACTTTCATTAAATTATCTGTATTATTTTTTTTATAGGGAAAGTATTAATACATGGAAATGCTGGAATTTCAAGGAGGTGAATAAGTAATTTTTTAAAAATAAATATAAATTTATATATTTTTATTGAAATATAGATATAAATTTCTTTTAATATTTTAAATAAACTTAAATTTTCTTTTAATAGTGCTACTCTGGTTATAGCATATATTATGGAAACATATGGATTATCCTATAAGTAAGTTTCAAATTTTATTAACATTTTTAGACAGATCTAATGTTTATGTATATTTTTAATAGATATTTCTTTAACCATACACACTATTCATTTCTCTAGGATAGTGTTTTTCAACCTTTCCTAATAGTAACACCTCCAACTTCATAATTTTTTCTTGTGATATCTCTACTTCTTTATCAATGTAGAGTTAATGTACTTTTTGTACTTTTAATAATACATGTAAGAAGTATTATGATGCTGCTCAGCACTATTTTGTGAAACCCTGAATTGACATTGGTTAAAAACCAGTGCTGTAAGATACAAATGTTCTTAAAAAGTAAAATTTATAGATATTACTTTTTAAAAACAAAATTGAAATAAAAAAGCCAATAATTTTAAGAATAATTAAGAAGTGTTAATTTTAATATCAAAATATTTTTTGATATGTTTTGATTTCATCTTCCCTAAATCTAAAGTTATGATCTTAAAATCTAAAAGTTTTAAATCAGAATGTCAACTTATCCATAGCAGCACAGAAACAAATTCCATTTTACAATTAGAATCTTAAAGTTCTTGTTAAATTTAAATATTTCCTTTATACAGTGGAATATGTGTGTATAACAAAATTTAGGGGACTAACAAAGAAAGTTCATATAGTGGTATTTTGCTATAAGCAGACAACAGCTATAAAAATTTTTTTTTTGTTGTGAAGATGGCATACATATTGTATTTTCATGGAATGACTGGCATGCCGGTCTATCAGGGATACCAGGAAATCAAATATTTTCATAGTTTTAATTAGTTAAATAATTGAAAAATAGTTTATAGTTTCTTGCCATTTTCTTGGTTACTATATAGAGCTATAATATGCTATGATACTTGAATTCCTAATTAACAGAATAAAAACGTAACTATAAAAGTAAGTATTAGCATACTGTTAAAAAAAAATTGAGTTTTTTAAATATGATTATAAGCAGAGCCGGCCCTACCATTGGGCGAACGGAGCGACTGCTTCGTTCGCCCAATGGTAGGGCCAGACGCTAAGTCCTAGGGAGCACCTCAGTGGTAAAGAAAATTAAAGAGTATAAATTAGGGGCAACCAAGGTGGATGCCATAATAGGATCTTGCTCCATCCTGAAATTTGCCTTGGGCTGGCACTGATTATAAGATTAGTTTTTACAAATACTATGAAAGCTTTTTTATTTTAATATAGTAGTTATTAAAAATTAAATAAAAATTATCATGTTTCTACTTTATTGAAATAATAATAAAACAAACCACTTTACCACAATCTGTATTACCTTTAAAAGTAAATAAAATATTGGTTTATCTGATTCCTAAATGAATGAGTGTGTGCATTTATTTTTGTGGCAAGATTTTTTAAGGATAATTTTTAATCTATTTCATGCAAAATTTAGAAAATGCAAATGAGCAAATTTGTTTTCAAGAAATATATAAAAATTTAGAAAATATTTTTATATGAGTAAATCTTTTAAGAATGAAAGAATAATAATAATATTCTTTATATGAAATCATGTCCATCTTATTTATTTATTTATTCAACATGAAGAAGTGTTGAATGAATAAATGTAAAGAAAGCCTAGTGTCATGTGTAAATTACACTGTATTGTGTTTAATAAATAAATAGAATTATAATAATAAGATAAATAACATAAAAACAATATATAAATATTATATTTTAACTTTTATTATTGTCAAATTTTGAAAATCATATTAAATTATTTCAAATTTTTAAGAAGAATCTATTAGTATTATAATGTAGTAAGATGTAACAGAAAAATATTAATATTTGTTTTTTTTTAAATTTTAGAGATGCATTTTTACGTGTTCAACAGAAAAGGTTCTGCATAAATCCAAATGAAGGTTTTGCTCAGCAGCTCAGGGTAAATTTTATTCTCTGTTTTAGTAATTATAATATAATTCAATGTCTTCATGTTAATATGTTTTTAATGTTATCATTTGGTTTAAGTATAATGTGACTTTTATGTGTAATATAAAATGTTAATATAACAAAGTCATTTAGAAATTATTATTTTGATAATTGATGCATCAATTATCTATTGGCTTGCTCTCATGAATCTGTGTGAAATTTGTTTGAATGAAATTAATATTTTAGATCACATACTTAGTTTAATTTTTGTTAAATTAATAAATAGAATAAATTTCAATAAGTAATAGAATTGCTGCAGGACTTATTACTTAAATGTAAAATCCAGACATTTTCAGAAAAGTATAATTTTTATATTCTATGCAAAACTCATTTATGCAACTTCAAACTGTCATAGAAAATTGTCTGCTTTTTACATTGATTAATAAAATACAGGGTCATTCAAAAGTCTTTTGCACCCTTTTAATTTCAGAAGTACTGAAGATATGTTAATGTCTTCAGTACTTCTGAAGACATTAACATATGTCTTCAGAATACTGTTATATTCCTATATAACATATCTGAATATGTTATATAGGAAGTAATGCATGGAGAATTGGCATAGAACCTTTGTGTTGAGCCTGAAAATGATTTTCTTCTGATGAACTTAAAATCACTTACTTCTCATGAATTTAAAGTTCATAGTTTTAAAAAGACAAATCCTTTGAACATCTGTTTACACAATGCTGATTAAGAATCCAGAAAATGGTTTTAGACTAATTAAATGCTCTTTAATTTTGTTATTAGAACTTCATTACTTTTCTTGTTAAAAAGTTCCAATATAAATACATGTTTTACCATCTTGGCATTTAAACTTGCCTTTCGGACAGCCGTGACTGCAATTAGTTTCATCTTCTCCGAGAAGACAGTCATCGAAGGTGTCGCAGACCAAACTTTTAGGAATGCATAGATCATCTTCACATCGGAACTCATCAGCATTACATGTCAAGGCCTTGCTGCAATTGTCTTCATCCATATTATCGAAACAATCTTTTTCTCCATCACATTTCCAAGTGTCCGGAATACACTGGCCGCTGTTGCAATGCATCATATTATGAGGACACTGACGACTAGTGCAATAAGTCACATTTTCATCATCTCCGTGAGGACAGTTTGGAGTAAGATCACACAGCAACTCGGGAGGAACGCAAGAGCCATTCTTACACCGAATGTATGTGGGAGGACAGTAAGCAGGCAGAATCTGCTTTGTAGAGGCACAATTTTCTTCATCAGAATTATCTTTGCAATCATTAGTACCGTCACATTGCCATCTTATATTAATGCATCTGCCGTTGGCACAATGAAAGTCGCCACCCCCACACGTTAACGGACAATCCACTTCATCAGTACCATCCAGACAATCCATTCTTCCGTCACATTTCTTATCCTTTGCTATGCATTTTCCATTCCTACAGCGGAAAGATGTCGAAGAGCAGTTAGCAACAACTGCAAAAGAAAACGGCACAGTAAAGAAAACTTTAGTTGTCTTGCATTATTGAACCCCTCGCCTTCGCAAGAGCGTTTGTCACTAGACAATGTGAAGCCAGTTCAAACGTAACCAGAAGGTGAAAGAAGAGATAGCTGAGTACATCTTGAAGCGGCACAAGTTCCTTTCTTGGTAATTAGTGGGTTGACGTAGACACGTTTTCTATTTACGTGCAGTTTGTCTTGATTGCCATAAATTACGGTTTTAGGATTCAAATTTTTGGTCACAAAGTTTAATGCACGATGTTCTCCGTCCAACCAATGTATATTTTGGTCATCGACTGCAATAGATATGATGTGACCAGTATTACGAACTGCGATTTGGGAACTGCTTCCGGGCTCAAGTTCCCTCATTAAGATTCTTTCCCCAAATGTATCGCCCCAATATAGTCTGTTGCCACTCCTATCGACGAAGACTGACATGTAGAAACCGTCAGCTTCGTTAATTTTTCTTCGATTTTCGCCAGTCATATCGAACACGAGCACCTTCGATTTGTGTCGCAAGACAGCTACAAACATTAGGCCTCTTTCCGGATGCAGAGCGATGTCGATGGGTCTGGTTAATCCACCAACGAGGTTCCAATATAAGTGACTTTGAAAATTTGAAATTTTAAGTCTTGGCTTGATTTAAGTGTTAAATGTTCGAATTCTTTACTAATATAGTAGCGCTTCAATTATCCGAATCAATTGGGGACTGGGGTTGTTCGGAAGATTGGTGTTTCTGATAACCAATTATGTACGACAAAATATATTAATTTATTCCATCTTGACATTTTTCTCCATTGCGTGTCGCTTCGTGTTGAATTTTTGTTGATGTTAAACCTAACAAAGACTATTGTATCGTTAGTATCAAAAACGTAAAATATTTGAGTAGCCCAAGACATAGCCAAAGATTGCAGCGCCACAGCACTGGCAAAAATTTAAATTTGCCGACTGAAATTCTTTCGGATAATCGACACTCTACTGTAATAAAAATAAAAAATATTACTGATGGCATATTATGTTATGAGAAAAAGTTCTCAAAAGCTGAGCTTGATGCATTCTGGAAAACTTCAAAGAACGATTTATGAAGTAAATAAAATACACTAAATAAAATGTTGACATATGTTTTACTATATGTTATTGTGATTAATAAGTGAAATGTTTCTTTTGTATTATATCTAATTGGCTTTTGTATTAGTTTTCTCTTAAGAAAATTAGTCTGAAGGCAAGGTTGTAAATATCTCAATAAAACATTAATCAGAAATAAATGTTATTGGATATCTAAAAACTGTTTAGCATTATATATTATGAATTTTTACAAATGTATTGCTGCCAATATCATTAAACTATATTGGTAAAATTATATTTCTTAATTTTATGCAAACATTAAACCAGGGATTCTCAACCTTTTTTTTTTTACCCATTGACCCCTTTTCCTCTTAATTTTTTTTGTGGACCCCCATACATTGCACAGAAAAAAACCCTTATATTTTTTTTGTTACATTGTTTCAAATTGGAAAAATATTTTAATACTGAAGCTCTGAATTTCAGAAAAAGTAACTACTGTATTTATGAACTAGCACTTTTAATACCTCTTACCTTGTCAAGATGGAGTTTTGCACAGAACTGAAGGTTAGTGTTAAAATAAACTGATAACCTTTATACTGGAGGGAGGCTATAAACTTATAGCCTCCCTCTTCCCTAATCTTCAAGATCTGGAACAAACTGAAGCAAAACGTTCAGAAATGTCACTTTCAAGTGACATGACGCTGATGGTATAAGATTCTCCTAACAGATCCTGGTTTTATAATCTCTCTTTGACCTTTTTCAATGAGATATATACAGTATGTTGTTTACATATTCAATATTTTAAATTATTTCTATTTTAACCCTTATGCAAGAAATGAGTAATAAATGAATTGATAATATACTGTAGAAATTTAATTTTCAGTAAAACAGTTGTTCTGAAGTAGAATTACCCTATAGACCACTAAAATATCACCATAAAATATCATTTATTTTTTTCTGTGGACCCCTAGTAATGTTACATGGACCCCAGTTGAGAAACCCTGCATTAAACAATATACAGTAAAATTTGTAAAAGCCAGAACTTAGTGGGACTGTCTTGTTTTTCTGTGTCTCTCTGGTTTTTTTGCCATTGACAGGATATAAACTTACTACTTTTCTATTGCTCACTGTTGTCCATATATTTTTCCTTTTATGAAATTGGATGAAAAAAATCATGATTTACATGTTTATTCAAATTGCATTTGCTACAGATTTCTGCATATATTGTAAAGACTTTACTTACAAATAAGTGGACATAATTCACTTTTTAATTAAATAATGTAATGTCATTTGATTAGTTGTCTTTGATTGTTTAAAGAAGTTACTGAGAGAAATTTCTGGTAGGTGGTGGAGGCTAAGAATTGTGGTACATTGAGTTTTTTATCAATGACTTACTCATAATTTGGCAACAAAAACCAGATGTACCACAATCTTAACCTCCATCATCCACAATTCTTATGGCCTTCACCCTTGTCTGGATCAACAAAGTCATCATTCAGCTTACTTCCTGGACATCCAATTAACATTATGTCAGGACTGCATCACCAACAAAGTATAGAGAAAACTTGACAAGCCACTCTTTAACCGAATTGAATCCCAACATCTTCACCTTTACAAAATAGAGTGCTGGTCAAACAAATGTTTACATATTCATCCAATATTCTGGACAGAGAAATGGAGCTTGATTACATCACATATAAAGCAAAGGAACATGGTTACGAACCAAGCCTCACAGTGAGTTTTATCAATAAATATGAAATCTCATGCCACACATAAGAAGGACAACAGCAAACAATAAAGTTGTCAAATACAACCATCATCACAGCAACATCTACAAACAGATTGCGAGAGCCAATAACTTCAAAACTGCATTTCAAAAGAAATTCTTCAATGCACTCCTTATTAAGGAATGCCAAGGATCCTGTTGACAAGAAACCTGGGGCCTACACCATCCACATAACAGACAACAGGTTCAACAAAGAGTGGTATACATAGAAGCAACCAAACATTCACTGGATGCATGCGTGTATTAAGGAACATTTGCTTCTGAAAATGATGTCCAAGTCTCTCTCAGTGGAGTCTGCAAACTAAATCCTGTCACCTTCTGGGTCATTTTAAAACATCTTAAGAAATTAGAAATTTAAATGGCTTCCACTAGGAATTCAGCATAAACTACAGATATGCAGAGACTCTCTACAGCTTGGAAATCTTTATTTGAAATACACTTTTAAAATAATCTTTGCATTAATAAAAGTTGCTATTCATGTTGATATCATCAATGATGCATTCTTTTCTGATCAATGGAACTGTAGTTCTTTCCATTTCAAAAATTATGTTCTGTCTTCTTTGTATTGTATTATATTCTATTGTAACTTAACCTGAAGATTATGGTTTAAAACCATCAAAAATGTTCATTTAGTTTGTTAAAGTTTATTTCTGCTGGATATCTTTGTATCATTGTGTATATTTTCCAGGAAGCATTAAGGAAGTTTGAATCTCTTCTGTTCAGTTAGTTTTTTTGAAGGCTTTCCCCATAAAACCATTACTTTTTTCTATAATTGTAATAGTTTGATATCTTTGTTGAAAGATATCAAACTATTTTCACATTTCCTGACTTGAGAATGCAGCAAGTCAATTATTAATCTTAGGCACAGAATTGACAGTGGTTCAAAATAAAAAAAACAAAAATATTTATCTTTTAGCTGTGTTGGAAGAATTAACAATTTTGTATGATGAATTATAAAATAGCAACCATTGCAAATGAATCAAAGGAGATATCCACAAAAAGAATACTGAATATTGAAAGGAGGAAAAAATCAAAGATAGAGCAAGTTGCTTCAAAAGCAAATAAATAAAATTCAAATCTTAAAAAAGACATTATTATTAGATGAGAAGTTGCACATTTTTAGTTAAAATGAAACACTACAAACTTGATATGCTGAATTAATTGATTAACTGGGATATGAATTATACAGAAACATTTTTATTATTATAAAATTGTGAAATATTTGTCTATAAATTTTTTTCTTAAGATACAAGAATGATGTAATTAATATTTTCTGCTATGCATAGGTTTCTTTACAACAAAAACCCTTACTAAATAACACAAAATATCACTACTGAAGCTTTAAAATTTAAAAATTGCACTCAAGTGTTTAGTTATAGATCCAGCTTCAGGGATTTAAAATTAAATTCCAAAGAATATTTAATTCAAAATTATTGATTATTGTCATGAGTCCAAATATATTTGGATTTATTCTCTAGTAAAATAATGAATGATACTTTATATTATTAATTTTTAAAGGAGTTTAAATATTTTTATTTAATTAATATAATTCATTAATTAATTAATGAGAAATAAATATAAATTTTGTATTTGTTTATGAAATTATTGTGTTGTTATAATTATAAATTATATATATCATTTTATATATTTAAATAATTTTGTAGGAATATGAACCAATATATAAAGCAAAATTAACATTACAAAATGGTGAAACATCTCAAGTCACTGGTAAGTATAAATATATAATACTCATTCAATTATTATTATTATTATTATTGAAATTATTATAAATATTTAAGGTAAATTGAAAAGGAGGATACAAGATGTAGAAGATTCAGATAGAGGTAACGATAGCATGGATATATGTGAAGAATCTGTTCCATCATGACTAGGACCTTTTGTCTGTGTTAAAAATATAACACTATTCATTTGAAAATACTCCAAAAACTCTAGAAGTTGGTAAACATTAATTTGAGTCACTGTTAATAAAAAATCATTATGCACGTGACAAAATCCAGCCCTGCACTGCCTCCGAACAGATGCAATTGAGGATGATATTATTGAATGGTGTACAGGTTGTTTAAGTAAACTGAATTCTCAGTTTTGAATTTTTTACAAAACTATTATAAAAAAAAACCTCTCTTGTACTTAACGTTGTCAGATGTCTAAATGAACAATTACTTTGCTTTATTTATGTTTAAAGATTGATTATATTGTTCACGTAACAAATTAGTAATTCAACAGAAAATTAAATAATTATTTGAGTGAAATGATCTCAATAAGAATAATAATTCCTAAATAATTTTGTTATTTGAACATTTAATCAGAAAGCAATCGAATAATAATTTCCATTTCTAATAAATTTGAATGTTTCAAAATGGAATTTTTTATTCGAGTGAAATAGTAGGTCTATTTATAAATGTATGATTTTAAAAGTATTGTTTTTTTAAGAATAATTTAATCCTTTTTAGTGATATTTTGTTAAAAATGAATTAACTTATACCAATACTCTTAATGGATTTTATACATGAAATGTCGTTAGGAGTGTGAGTGCCTTTTTAGCCGTTACATCCTTGAAAACTTGATTGTAAGAATTTTGGCAAATATACAATATATACTTATATGTAAATATATATATATATATATATATATATATATATATATACATATAAATAGCTATAGTTAAAAATAGCTTTTGTAAGTAAAAAGGAAAAGAGGAGAAAAAAAATTAGAAATCTCATCTGCAATAATGTCAATAGTAATGGTAGTGTAAGAAGTTCATTCAGATTCAATTTTTAGCAATGTTGATAGGAATTCCTAATATTTATAATAAAATCATCATCCTGGAAAATACAAAATTAGCATTTATATTTTTGTATCAAAAGTTGTACAATAAAATTTATCTAAATTTTACAAGCACACTGTTTTGTTTATTGATTTTTCTACGTTTTAAAAAAAAAATTCATCATAATACTGCGGAATTGACTTATCGGTTATCAATGAAAAAAAAACTTAAGGAAGTTTTTCTAGATGATATCTAATCATTTAGAAATAATAATTTCTATATAAATAAGTTTTTTATAGAATATCTGAAGAAATATAGTAATGTATTTATTTTGTATGTATGGATGTTAGTGTGTGCTTGGAGCACTATTTTATTCACCCTCTTTGAAGCTTAATAATTCCTGTGCTTTTTGTCGAAAATTTCTGAAATTTTGCAGGGAGGTTTGTGTATTAGGAAGATAAATGCTATTAAATTTTGGTGGTTAAAGATCGAGAGGGTCAGACTTAATGAAGTATTTATTTATTACATTTACAATTTTTTATAAAACTTATCTGTACTCTAAACATTAAGCTTTTTACCACTTTATAATAATAATTTTTTAATAAAATCTCGTAACAGATGGAACCACACACAATTTTGACTCTTGCCAGGAAAGTTATGCAACACAAATTTTTTTTTTCAAATATGATTTATCCGATAATGCATGGGATGTTTTAGATTGTATAATAATGAATAAAGTGATACTGTTGAACACTATGTATTAAATCATTCTAAAAGACAAAGATAGAATAAATTATTTCAAAAAATATATTGGTTTCATTGTGTATCAAACAATCTAGGGTAGTGGTTCCGATCCGTGTGCCATAAACTATTCACAGGGAATGTCAAAATTTCAGGGAAAAAAAAAGTTTCCCACTTTTTAATGCTGTTTGTGTATATAAAATATATGTTATATATTTAAATTAACAACTGTATATCTTCAACAGCACAATGAGTGAGATACTGGCTCGTCTGTGTTCCACTACCTTAAAAATGAATAAGAACTACTCAGGAAGAATAAGATTTTATCATTATATTTATTTGGAATGAAAAAAACAGATAATCATAATTTTAAAGAATTAAAAGTATTGGCTTTTTTTTTCAGTAACATACAAGGAGCATTTGTTGATATAGGTTTTTATTAGAGGAAATGCATTTTGGGTCTTAATGACCCCTCGTCAGTCCTTATAACGGTTGATTATTGGTTACAAATTGACATTAAAGAAAATATTGGGTAATTGACTTATTTTCTAATGTCAATTTTTAACCAACATCTATCGACTCTGGCAATATGGACGCCTCCATGGGGTTACATTTAGCGATTTTATAAAATAATCATAAAGATTGGATAAGACGGTTAACATGTAATATTATTTAATCCCATACATTGTAATTAAATATAAGATTATTTGACGATGATTTAAAAAATATTAAAAAATGTCTGAAATATAGGCCTTTTTTAAAACTAAGAAGGCCTCTTTAAGCAAGCCTATTATGGGTTCGGCCAAGCTCACAATGGGGCGGCTGGGTGGTGAGAGACAGGGTCCGACATATCCGGACAGACCACTAACCGAAAAATCCCAAGGAATTTTTCGGCCCGTCGGATTCGAACCCAGCGTCCCCAGAGCGGTATGTTGCCACCTAGACCACTCGGCCATCCTGCCGTCAAAACATATAGGCTGTGTCGCTAGTAGAAGATACGCTTGAAAACGGAGTATGAAACGATGTCGTTTTTATATATAGAGAAGTTCTTTTAGGCTTCACCATAGTAACAATAGCAGCTAAATATTTTATCATCATCATTTTTACTATTCATCTCTATTAGAGAGGTTGAGGCACACGTTTTAAACCTGTAAACGTGTACGTGTGACGTTCGGCGCCGCTTTCCCGTAAGCCTAAAAGTTTGACAATGATGTTTGTATAGTCGGTGGAATCACGCTCGACATTCCAAACACCATCGTCAAACTTTTAGGCTTACGGGAAAGCGGCGCCGAACGTCACACGTACACGTTTACACGTTTAAAACGTGTGCCTCAACCTCTCTATTAATACAATGTTATGTAAACAGCACTATACTGCAAATGCCAGTATAGCGCTGTTTGCTTCCGCCATCTTGATAGGTTCCAGTAAAAGTTGGTTAAACCGTTCATCAATGCATCGATTGTGGCTGAGACTGATAATCTTTCCCTGCTACTGGTTGAAAAATGGTTTGGTCCGAAAACGGACGACTCGTCACTGGACCAGAGTGGCCATCTGTCCCGGTTTCTTGTGAATGTCCCGATTTAAAAATAGAAGTCCCGTGTCCCGCTTTATTACTCATAAATCCCGCCATCCCACAGTTTCATATAATTACCACAAATTACTTATGTAAATCAATCAGTTATCGAATATTTATATTTTTTTTAATTTTATATTTTACGTTAATAAAAAAATATATAAAAAAAAGAAGCCCACCAGCGGCCAAATAATCTTCGCACCCTGAACACTGGGGAATTCGGTTGTGGGTTCGCGCTTCGCTCGTACGGACTGGCCACTTGGGGTTTTTCGGGTTTTCTCTACATCTGTAACGAGGTCTTTTATAAATAGTTAATTGTTTATTGTAGTCTTGGGGCATTGGGTACCTCTTTTTTATTCCCTGAATGGCTGATGTTTCCTTGAAATAAATTTACCAGAGAATCTAAAAAGTTTCTAGATAAAAAATTAAAACCACGGATTTATTTATAGCTTTCTTAATAAGAAAGTAAATTTTTTATTTAATTTTCATTTCTTGAATTTTGACAGTTTAACCGCCTCGACCATCGGGCCATCAACTTTGTAAGAGCCGCCGCAAAGCTGTAGTTTGCGGCGGCTCTAATAAGTATGAAAAAAATACATCTTAAAATCCACAGGGAACTAAAAGCATTGAAAAAATAGCTATTGCATAAAAAAACAATCATTCAGTTAAACAGTACAACGGCGATAAAAAATTATCTACATAAGGCCGAAAGCACCTTTTATTTCGTATCGGGAATCGGTTTGCTTGTCATCTTTTAGAATATTAAGAAAAATCAAACATAATAGAAACTATTATACTTATTCTGAACAAAATTTATAAAATTATATTTTGTATAATTTTATTGAAAATTATTCGGCCAAATATGACAATATTAATATTATTTCTTTCCATAAAAAAAAAAAAAATTTAATGATAAATCTATATTAGGTGGCGCAGTGAACCTTACGTCTTCAATCGAGAATTTGTAGAAGGTATCGGTGTATGTAATTTTCGAAGTTTTTTCTTTTTTCTTTTTTTTTTTTTTAATTCCTTAAGGTTATCGCTAAGTTTAAATTAAATAAATTTGTATTGATTAAGAATAGATTATAAACAAACTCTAATTCCGTGTGAAGTAAGAGAGATGACAATACTGAATACCTGTCTTTTAATATGTTTTTAAGGAAGTAATTATTATTTTACATCAAATATTCATAACTTAATATATACATTTAATATATAAATAATTTAGTTTTGATTGCTTTTATTAAGAAATTCAACTTTAAAGTAGAATTTATATATTAAAAATTTCTAAATTCTTCAAAATTTGTATGTAAAAATGATTAAAATGCAACCAAATATCATAAAAATTGTAAGAGTCATAATGCAAATATTGGAAGTTTAATTGATATTGTGATTACATTATAAAAAAAGCATCTAATTTCCCAAAACAAAACATTGATGATTTTACATTAGTTTACATTGATTTGCATTACACAAGCAAATACATTATTAAGTATTAATGTTAAACAAGATGATTTTTTTTCACTGCATAATGGAATGGAATTGATGTCACGATTTAAAAAACTATTCGAAAGTAATTGGAGCATTTCAAAAATATTTCTGTTATTATTATTATTATTGCTTTATGGATTTTATTGAAAATGTAATAAAAATGTTTGTTTGTTGTATTAAGTCGTGGCAATGCAACACTTGGGCGATCTGCCCAGGGGGATGCCTTTTTAAGGGTAACTGGCTCCTATTTGGGTGTTACAGACGTGGGGAAAACCCGGAAAACTCCATGTGGCCAGCCCGTCCGAGCGAGGCTCGAACCCACAACCGAATTACCAGTGTTCGGGGTACGAAGACCGCTTGGCCGCTGGTGGGCCGTAATAAAAATGAGAGTGAATAGTAGTAATAATTAAAGTTTCTTTTAATTTCTTAATCTCGTCAATTAAAAAAAATAGGAATAATAATGATATTTTGCAAATTTTCTGTTTGTTCTGATGTTTGACTAATCAAAACAAAAAATTTCTCTGATACAAGTAAAAATTTTTGTTGGTTAAGTTATTTTTAAGTAGTTTATCAATAATAAATTATAATTTTATCATTATATTTATTTGGAATGAAAAAAACAGATAATCATAATTTTAAAGAATTAAAAGTATTGGCTTTTTTTTTCAGTAACATACAAGGAGCATTTGTTGATATAGGTTTTTATTAGAGGAAATGCATTTTGGGTCTTAATGACCCCTCGTCAGTCCTTATAACGGTTGATTATTGGTTACAAATTGACATTAAAGAAAATATTGGGTAATTGACTTATTTTCTAATGTCAATTTTTAACCAACATCTATCGACTCTGGCAATATGGACGCCTCCATGGGGTTACATTTAGCGATTTTATAAAATAATCATAAAGATTGGATAAGACGGTTAACATGTAATATTATTTAATCCCATACATTGTAATTAAATATAAGATTATTTGACGATGATTTAAAAAATATTAAAAAATGTCTGAAATATAGGCCTTTTTTAAAACTAAGAAGGCCTCTTTAAGCAAGCCTATTATGGGTTCGGCCAAGCTCACAATGGGGCGGCTGGGTGGTGAGAGACAGGGTCCGACATATCCGGACAGACCACTAACCGAAAAATCCCAAGGAATTTTTCGGCCCGTCGGATTCGAACCCAGCGTCCCCAGAGCGGTATGTTGCCACCTAGACCACTCGGCCATCCTGCCGTCAAAACATATAGGCTGTGTCGCTAGTAGAAGATACGCTTGAAAACGGAGTATGAAACGATGTCGTTTTTATATATAGAGAAGTTCTTTTAGGCTTCACCATAGTAACAATAGCAGCTAAATATTTTATCATCATCATTTTTACTATTCATCTCTATTAGAGAGGTTGAGGCACACGTTTTAAACCTGTAAACGTGTACGTGTGACGTTCGGCGCCGCTTTCCCGTAAGCCTAAAAGTTTGACAATGATGTTTGGATAGTCGGTGGAATCACGCTCGACATTCCAAACACCATCGTCAAACTTTTAGGCTTACGGGAAAGCGGCGCCGAACGTCACACGTACACGTTTACAGGTTTAAAACGTGTGCCTCAACCTCTCTAATAGAGATGAATAGTAAAAATGATGATGATAAAATATTTAGCTGCTATTGTTACTATGGTGAAGCCTAAAAGAACTTCTCTATATATAAAAACGACATCGTTTCATACTCCGTTTTCAAGCGTATCTTCTACTAGCGACACAGCCTATATGTTTTGACGGCAGGATGGCCGAGTGGTCTAGGTGGCAACATACCGCTCTGGGGACGCTGGGTTCGAATCCGACGGGCCGAAAAATTCCTTGGGATTTTTCGGTTAGTGGTCTGTCCGGATATGTCGGACCCTGTCTCTCACCACCCAGCCGCCCCATTGTGAGCTTGGCCGAACCCATAATAGGCTTGCTTAAAGAGGCCTTCTTAGTTTTAAAAAAGGCCTATATTTCAGACATTTTTTAATATTTTTTAAATCATCGTCAAATAATCTTATATTTAATTACAATGTATGGGATTAAATAATATTACATGTTAACCGTCTTATCCAATCTTTATGATTATTTTATAAAATCGCTAAATGTAACCCCATGGAGGCGTCCATATTGCCAGAGTCGATAGATGTTGGTTAAAAATTGACATTAGAAAATAAGTCAATTACCCAATATTTTCTTTAATGTCAATTTGTAACCAATAATCAACCGTTATAAGGACTGACGAGGGGTCATTAAGACCCAAAATGCATTTCCTCTAATAAAAACCTATATCAACAAATGCTCCTTGTATGTTACTGAAAAAAAAA